CTCTCCTGGAGGGGGTTGCGTCTCTTTCCCTCTTTCTCGCACCAGTAGTGAAGGGTTCGCCCTGCGGTCCCCGGGCCGAACAGTCGATATAACTCGGCTCTCGAACAGTCGATACTCTCGCTGACCTCGCGGTCGGGTCGGGCGGCCGCAGGTAATTTGTTTCGATCTGACTGAGTGGCGGCGTGGCGTCCATCCTGCGAGTCGTCGTGTCTTGGGCGAGGGACACTTACACCACCCCGCCCCGCCACGCTACGCCCCGCCCCGCCCCGCCCCGCCACGCCCCCGGGCGGCCGCGCGGTGAAGGACGGCACCACAGTCAACGGGGTTGGGATGGGATCGGTGGTGGAAGTGCATGCATTATTACGACTTTCGGGCCGGCAGGGTAGCGAGCTCTCGAAGTACTAACAGAGGATCGCCCGGCCGTCGAAACGTTACTTTTTCGGGGCACGGTGGTGTTAAAATCTGATTCAAGCGAACTGCATTCATGGCACGTGCATTTTAGGATTGGTCAAATCAGTATATACAATTTTACCCTTGATTAAAGTACGTTTGATACCTGATCTGGTTCTGGTTAATGCCCCCAAGTTCCCTAGTACAAATGCTCTCGCTTCAAATGCGAATTGATGTCAATTTCGTATAGTGCAATTTTGTTCCTAGAACTCGGTTTTCGGGGGGGGGGGGGGGACTGTTCGCAGATACGTACGTGGGTGGTTTGAGAAGCAGCCGCACGACCTAATGGGATACTCCCCCATGCCGCACCGCCCCTAACGCAACCTGGTCGCTTCCGGGCTTTAGGTGGGGGGAGTACATGTGTCTGCCATACGTTCTCTGGGGGTGCCCCCGCCCGCCCAGCCCAGAAATTTGAACCCAAAAGGAGAGCACTCTCTGCTACCTGAAAGAATACATATACACAAGCCGAGCAGTTGGTCGGAGAGAGCAGGAGAGTGGCAGGGGGGGGGGGAGGGGGGGCAAGTCCGGAAACGTACTCTGAGCAGCAGCAGCTTAGCAAACAATAGGCTGGGCCGGTCCCGGGCCGGTCCTGTGGTCGGACGAGCGGGTACCTTTTTTCTCCCCCCCCCTCCCTCCCACCGTGTGCAGCAACCCCCGAGGGAGGTTGGCCGCCCCGCCCCGCCCCGCCCCGCCCCGCCGGCTCCAGCTCCGCAGCTCTCAGCCGCACCGCGCCTTCTTGGCCAGGGTTGCCGTCTCGTCCGTACCCCTCATTGCTGCCGAATGTGGCAGGACCAGGCCGTGCGGTGTCAAACTTGTTTGCGGCACGACGGCCTGCTCCGCCGTGTACTCGTGGGCCGCGGCCGGCCTGGCCGGGGCGCTCGCTTTGCCAACTGCATGGACCGGTGCCGGTGCAAGGCGATGATGCAGCGTGCAACACCGTGCCTTTTGTTGGCGAGCTTTTTCCTCACTGGCGACTCGCCCGAACCTTCACCCCTTTTACCCATGGTGCGGATTCGCCATGATTATTCGCGTGCTCGTTTTTCGATGTGAAGGGCTGCCTTGCCAACCTCCTGCCCCTGCAGGTCGCTCTGGAGGCCAGGCTCAAGGAGCTCTGGCCTTTGCCTTCTTTTATTGTTGCTGGGACGACGCGCTGCTCGTTTGCGAATGACGGAATTGAAATTTTAAAAGGAGAATGATGCATGCATTGCAGTACACTCGTCTGGCGGCTGACAGTTGATGTTCGCATTCTAATTAAACCGTCGAAATTAAATCAAACTTTGGATCTGTTTGGTTTTTTCGGTGTCGCGCAGTTTTATTTTAAAGTATCGGTAATTCCGAGTACTGCTCTTTTTCTCAGTTTAATTTTGTACCTGGCTGCTGGCCGGTATGGTGGTCCTCTATTGTCTGTTTCGCCCGGTGTTGAGTTACCCGGCGCGCTGCCTGCCAGCCCCGTCTGTCCGGCTGGCTGGCTGGCGGCTGGGCCGGCCCTCTGCCTACCGGCCCGCCGGACTACTCGAGTACGACACACACCGGTGTATGGATTCATTGGCGAGTTGAAAGCGTCGGTTTCAGCGAAGCGCACTGGACCTTTGTGTGCGGGGCTCAGGCCGGGGCCGGGGCCGGCGGGCAGCCGAGCTGGCCACCCCCGGCGGCTTAGTGCTGGCGCAGCCTGCCCTGCGCAGCCGGGTAGATACGGGTAGGTATGTAGGCCTGGCCCGGCGCGTACCTCTCCTACCTGGGCGCAGCCTGCGCAGCCTATTGTCAGGGGCTTTTGTTGTCCTGGGCATTGGCACTGCTACTCTGTGCGCTCGGTGCGGGCGGGACCCTCCATGTCGGAGGAATCCGACCAAACCGATCGGCCGGGGCGACACTGGCAGTCGGCGCGCAAAACACATGGCACACCGTGCATCGCGCACACCCACGCTCGCACTCGCCTTGCGCCTTGCGGCAGGTGCGGCCTTTACGCGGCCGTGTCCGCTGGATGATCTTCGACGCAAACTCGAAACTTCACATTACTGCCGCGTATTCCAGAAATACGTGTCACTCGGAAAGACGGATGCAGTTTCTTGATTGCAGCCTAGGAAAATCATGTTATTCTTGACTTGACGAATGCAGTTCAAGAATGTTTTGGGGCTTGCATTGAGAAAACTTTACTTGAGGCAGCAGCAGTGTCCTTGATCGGGGTGTATAAAATGCACTTCGATCAGGGACAATAACTTATTCATCGTCATTCATCCACGTCCAAAATTTGATAAGAACCAGAACATTTATCTTATTTCGAGAACTGGGCAAATTTTTTTCTGCTCGTTTATACTAATGCGGTGGACCGAGGTGTAATGAGGCCCGCTTGTGGACCAAGTCTCGTGTGCTGCTGGACGCCGCCGAGCCTCTCCGAGACGCGGGCGCAGCGACTCCCTCGCCCACGTGCCTACGGTGCTTGGGGCCGCCATCGGCTCGCCTCAGCTCGCCTCGCCCAGCTGCAAATATGGCCTGGTGGGTAGGCGAGCGGGTACGTAGGTAGATGGGTAGACGAGGGGGGAGGGGGGAGCTGGTGAAAATCAGCGTCCAAGGCCCAGGCGGAGAGGCTGTGCCGCTGCTCGACTGCTATGGGATGGGGGCCCGCCGTAGTGGCGCTAGAGATATCGTAGATTGCACCGGGAGACGCGCTCCACTTCAAACAAATAATTTGATTTGACGACAGCGATAGAGGGCGGGGCGGG